TCTCACAATACAACTCTCGAGTCATATGATGGTAGTTCGAGAAATAAGTGGAAAGAGATAGAGGATTATTAGTGATACCATATTAAAAGACGGTCATGTTGGGGGTTTTCATCTTAGTTTGGGTTACATTTCTAAGAGTTACGAAAAATTCAGCAAAGCAAAGCATTTTCTAAAGGAAAGGAGGAGAAGTTGTCCATTACAAAGAAAAGAAGTCCAACTAAAACTTACTTCAGAAAAGTTACAGTGACATTATAACCCCACTCATCTGGAGGAAACCGCAGGCATCTTCCCAAATTGCTTTGGCAATAAATCCACAAACACATGGAATTCGATATCTCAAATAAAACCCACCTCATCCGTATTTATCTTGAGAAACTCTTTAGCTTATTTCAATCTCCCAACAATGGCCAAGAGTCTGCAGTGCCAACAGTTGAGTTTAAACCTGTATGTTTAAATGAAGATTGGATATTTCCTTAGTAATTGAAATTTCCAACAGAGAAAAACCACTAACAAACTTAACTAGCAGCACTTTAGGATATAATCCAAAGATAGAGCATTTTAGGATAATAATCCAAAGATAGATCCTCGTTGTTGACTGCACAAATTAATGTGGGGTCCTAACTTTTAGATAGGTCTCACTGATTCTGACCTTGTATCCTATTTGGTCCTAGATTTTTTCTTGAACTTACTTTACTTGGTTTATCTCTCAAGTCAACCCATGCATGTCTGTTATCCCTTTGTGCTCATAAGCCCATGTACTTTTTACTGCAAATGTTGTTGGGGACACAGATATAAGGAGTGGCTGATGTGTACATTCTAGGGACACCTCTGGTATGTATCATGTGCTATGTGGGTGACATTGGATTGCTATTGTTGGGGATCCAGATATAAGGAATGTGTGTGATATGTGGGATGCATTGCTCTTGTATCAATGTAACTCATAAGTACTTCATTATTGAGATAAAAGTGTTTTGACATGAAAATTTCACTGAATCTCTTCCGTTCTAAAAGTTGATGCTTCACATTTATGTTTTTATATTTGAAACAAATGGGTGTTAAGGGTTTATTTCTCCTCAGGTACTACGAAGGACAGTTTGCTCCTATTTCTGAACTGGACGTTGAAGATGTTGAGACTCCCCCACTCAGAGTCGCAGAAGCTGCTGAGAAGGTGAACTACAATCACCAAGCTTAGTTTTTTTTTATAAATATTTTTAATTAATAGGTTAGAGAACTGCTTATATGAGACTATTCTATGTATTATTATTGCAATTGGAGGACATTTTTATAAGTCATAGGTTTCTGGTCAATGTAATTCTTGTTCTGTCGAAGTGTTTGAGTTGGTTAAACTTCATTCTGGTGATTGTAGAACAATTTCTGTGTTTGAATATAATTTGACAAACTTTTGTGAATGATCATTTGTTGTGTTAATTTTAATCATAATGACATCGAAGTATATCATGTATTGGTTTGTTTGTTTGGTATTAATCAACCTGCCGCCTGTGCCTTGATATTGTTTGTCAGAATGATACCTATGTCTATTTTATTTATAGGTTTCATTGCTGGAAGAAAGTATAAAACCTAGAACAGATCTTCCTCATTTGCTTGTTCATCTTCGTGAAAGGCGACCAGAGAAGCTCCATTATATTGGTGTCTCCTTTGGGCTTACCTTGGACCTTTTCAAGTTTTGGTGGAAACATAAGTTTGCTCCATTCTATATTGGACATATTCCAGTTAAGATGGATTCCCCTCTCCATACTGAATCGTTTTTTCCGTTAACTGTTTTATGAATATTATCATTTGTGAATGAAGGACTGATTAAACAATAATTTTTCATTTTTCTTTTCATTGTAATAGAGTGCTGTGACCGGGGAGCATACGTGTATGGTCCTCAAATCTTTGAAGAATGATGAACTTGAAACCAGTGATTTTCGTCCATTCTACCTAGGTGGGCCCATTTTTCTTTGGAGAACCTTTGTTCTATTTAAATTTATGCAGATTTTTTGTATTTCAGTACACAGCTTGATTATTTGTTGGCTACCTAGATTTCAGGAGAAGATTTTTGAGACTATTGGGTTATAGTTTTCGTACAATGGATTATAGGCTCGCTATGAGGTACTATTAAAAGTTCCCGTCTGATAAATGCTTATTGTTCAAGTGCTCCTACTAACTAATAATTGTCCAGCATCTTAGATCCTAAGATCAATTACAAGGATGTAGAACCGAAATCGTCTACTGCAGATGGATTCTTACGGTCTATCACAGACTTACTTTCGCCTTATGATATGAAGCGACTGGAGGCCTACACCAGCAGTCTTGCTGACTTTCATATGGTAAGTTCTCTGAACAATGGTTGATTGCCGACTTGCCCTGTCATAGTGCTATGTTGCACTGTTTTGGGATTTTTGTATCTTAGGATTACTAATTGATTCCATGCTTTCATATTAAAAATAGAAGTAATGTTTGCATTACAGAACAAGATATACTTCCCTTAGAATAAAAAAAGATATTTGCGTTACAAGACAAAATATGCTTTCCTTTAGAAAAAGAAAGTAATATTGCATTACAAAAGAAAAATTGTATTCCTTTGTGATAGAATTATCATCTCAGTGTGGCAATATGATTATGTGATTGTGATACAATTTTTAATTGACAGTGCTGAAATATTTGTTTTCTTACCGTGGACAATCTGATACCATGATTGTAAACATAAATTACTCTTGCAATGTTTTATGAATGAAAACCGAAATAACTAGTTATAGTAGGCATGAAAAGGCTAAATGAAATATGTTCTTTTTATACATATGTTTTTTTTATACATATGTTTGTAAAGCACTTCCCTAAGTTTCAATTTTGAAAGATACGAGGATAATCTTTTTCAAAAGTGAACTATTAGGACATTGTGTGTTTAGTTATTTATCTAATTATATGTACATATCTGTTCAGTTAGAACATAAAAAGTTCAAAATTGCTTGTTTGAGAAGGGGAATTTGTGTACTTTACAAGTAATTTGTGTTGAGGATTCTGTGGCTGATGTTTCATCCCGTGCTCTGTGTTACATGAAAAGATGAAATAATTTCTTTAAAAGATGAAATCAACAACGATTAGGCAATTAGACCCCTTCTTTTCCCCTCCCAGCCAATCCCACCCCGTTGTGGGTATGCCCCTGAGGGAGGTGAACCCATTTGTTGTGCGCTTCTCAGGAAGGTGCAGTGCATCCTGTTCAATGGCCATGTTGTCCATTTTTGTTGATTATAGTTTGAGTGGATTATCTGCTTCCTTCTGTTTTTTGGGAAAAGCCGCCAGTTTGAATTTGTCAAGATGTTCTTCCTCCTGTTAGGCATATAGATAATAGTGGGGAGGAGGGATCCGAGGGCTTACTGCATTTTCATCCTTAACCAACAGACCTTACTTTCGTCAAATTACCCGAGAATTGTTTTTAAAATTACAGTTTAAACCCTGGGGTCCATTTGAATTTGAAATGAAGTGTTATTTTCTAAACTGAGGTCCTCTTGTACTCTAGTTATCGTTTGTTTATAACTTTACACGTATGTTAAAGTTATGTTTTTGTTTTACAGATTTTGGATCTTGTTCCAACGCTTTCACATCTGTATTTCCTAGAGAAACTTCCGGTGACATTGACAGGTGCCCAGGCTTCCATATTGCTCTGCATTGGCTTACAGAATCAAGATATCTCCTATATTGAGGTTTGTTTCTCTACTTGTTGCTCATATGGTTTGCTTGGCTGTACCAGTCACATAGATGCGATGCGAGCACGCAATCAAACCCACTTGCAAAGACAAAACACTCTACTTGGTGGCGTCATTTCTGCTCTTTATTTCATTCTTATCAGGTGTAGATTTTTACTTACATTCACGTTTTCCAGGGGTTGATGAAACTGGAAAGGCAGCAAATATTGTCTCTGTTTATAAAAGTTATGAAAAAGTTTCACAAATATCTATACGCTATTGCATCTGAGGGCCTTGAGTCAACCTTGCCTAAACCAAAAGAAGTAAGTTCAGCAAAGCAGTAACCGTTTTTTTTTCCTTATGGAAAGGACATGATATGTTGGTGGTTTCCATCTCTTTCTAATAATTTCACGGCAGTAGGATGTGTTATGATTCTAGTAGGCTTAAACATCGTCTATCACATTATAATTGTGCGTGCGTGCGTGTATGTATGCTACTATGCTTTTCTTCTGCCTATGTTGTAACTCAACTCTGATTCGGAAATTTTGGTTCAGATTCTCTTGGAACCTCACAAAATCTCCAGTTGACGATGATCTCAATGATGCTGCAAGAAGAGTTGAGGTACGCTTTATTCCTTCCTTGCCTTCCATGTTACCTGAACTGGCTCTCTCTTTCCTGCGTTCTGAATTCCGAGAGTTGGGCTGACTTGACTACGCAAATACAGGATGGGATGAGATCCAACTCGGAGGGGTCATTAGATCCCAAGTTGCTTCAACAGTACGCGATTGGGGACAGAGACGCAGACTTTGAGAATGCATTACAGAATGGCGGTGCAAACTTACCGGCTGGTGGTCTTGTTAGCGTGAAATCAAGTAGAAACAAAATGGATAAAGGAAAACAGAGGGAGAGTCACAAGAGTGGGGAAAAGCGACGTAAAAATGAGCATGGCTCCAACTCAAAGTCCAACAAAAAGAAGAAACATTGACGTTAGCAACGGTCTTGTATGCATCTATTGTAACACTCAGTAGGGCGTCGCTTTAAGTATGCAACTGTTATAACATTCTTACGATGTATTTTTGACACAAACACAAACTGAAACAGGGATGCATCAGGAGATGACAATTTTGGTTCTTTAATTCGATTGTGGTTTCAATTTCGTGTTTCATTTGTTTCCAAATCGAATCCATTTGTGCCTGATTCCTTGGGGCATCATGCAAGACGAATAGAGTTGGAGGTGAAAAATCACAAGCAGAGAAGGCGATATATGCAACCAACGTTTTTAACAGATTCTTAATGAGTATAATAACACAGCAATTAACATCAAAACAAGAATAATTTAACTTCTAAGATCTTAAAACTCAATTGGGTTCATGACAAGGATTCAATATCCCTTCCATATCTAAAATATTACGAACATAACAGGTCAAATGGGAATTACCATAACATATGCTCGCTAGATATCCTCCATATAGTAAGCAATGGACACCGAGCTTAAAAATACATATCCGTACCTGGTCTGTGTATCCCTCTGCTTTGCTTCCAGAAATGCTTCTCTCAGTCCCACAAGAACCCGCTTTAGTGCCACTAGACTGAATCAGAACTTCCCCTACGCCGGAATATTTTGTGGTACCAAGCCAACTAAAATCGATAGGACTCTTAATCACTCTAAGGTACTGGCAACTGAGAGCCAAAATATTCCAAACATTCTGTGTAAAATTAGAGACGCAATCAATGAATTCACTTGAGACATCGTCAAAATCTGCATGTCGAACTTGACCATAGAATAAACAAGCTTCAAATTTGTCTATCAATGAGCATTTTGGACATCTATATCTTGCAGTGGAACATGGATTTGACACAGGCAGATCCCGGTGGACAAACTCACTCCAGAATGAGCTTCTAGCAAGAGTTAACAATGACTCCCCTGCGCTTGTCCAGAAATTTGCAACAGATACAATTAGAGACGATTCAGAGTGGAACAGATGGTGAGTTGCACCAGCAAGTAGCAAGGAGTATGCTGCACCAGTCCTGCTTAAGTTCAAAGCTTTTAACAGATGATCATCCATTTTAGAAGATAAAGCTATCATGTCAGTTGCACGGATTTTATACGCTGAAGCCAGTGTTGTGTAGGCATTTAGGGAGAGGTAGTTTAATGGGTGCAACCAGTATCTCAGCTGCGATGTCTCTCCGTTGCAATCTAATTGCATATCAGAGAGTCCTTGTGTGAACGCATGCTCAAGCCTCTCACAAGAAGATTCAGGATCGCCAATTGACAGGTAGTCATCAATAGCATCATTAAAGTAAACACTCAACAATTGCGTTGCCTTATCTCTATCAAAGTTTATTTCTAAACTCAAACTGGAGGAGCTGGAATTGACTGCAAATATTTCCTGGAGTTTTGAAGGCGAAGGTTAATGATTGTTCAAAAAACACCAATAACAACATTAGCTACATCCTAGGAAATAAAGTTGACTGCCAGAGAGGAAGAAAAATGGTTAGGAGGTAATTCACGTTCAAGTTGAAAAAGACCTTTTGTTCAAAGTGAAAGGCAAACTATATACAGGGGGGGGATACAAAAACAAGAATCTAGAAGTACAAATATCCTAGTGCATTTATAATTTCTGTAAAATCAATAGTATAAAGATATTAGGGAATAACTCCAAACAGACTTAAGAATCAGTATTTAATTGAGAATATCAAGAAAAAAAAAAGAAGTTTTCATGAATTACCACCTCCAAAGCTTGATCCACGTAGGTTAGGGGTGATGCACTACATCGTGTACAAGAGCAGATAAACCGATACCTTGACCATAGCTCTGACTGCCTCATTGCCTGGAGGTGCTCATGAGAAGAAAAGAAAATGTGACGTTAAAAGAAAGCGATTAAAATATAACATCAACATTAAAATTGGAAGTAAGTAAAAGAAAAGTCAAATGGGGCAAGATTTAGCTAATCCCTAAAGTGGAAAGAAGTCGGATTGCCTTGCATTGTCTCATCAAGTTTAGTTTCCTAAGACAGGGACAATAAGCATAAAATGACACTAGCAAATCTCATCTCACAGTCATCGACACATCGCTCAGTTAACTTGACAAAACAGATGTGGATTATATGAATTCAAAATTCCAATCACTGATCCATGTATAATGTGTATTTAGATAAAATGCAGATACCTTTGGCTGCAACAAATCAGTATAAGTAACAGTCACTTCTTCGCCTTTCTTGATTCTCTTGATGCTCCTAACCGTCACTCTTGGACCATAACCTCGGCATTCTACATTCATAGTATAGACGAATGGTTCAATAATACTGGTAAATTTGGTGTTCTAATTCAAAAAAACAAAAACCGAAAAGAAGCACAAAAACTTAAAAAAACCACAACACCTTTTGCTAACACATTATTGCTACAAACACCATTCTCAATCTGCAACAAATATCCATCTCACAACTCTAAATTTCAATCTTATTCCACTATAAATTAAACAAACGGTGCAAATTTGCAGGGATTACTTGTGTGGCAGGACCGGAGGAGCGGCCGAAGGGGACAATGCGCAGCAGCGGCGTTTCGGGCCAACAAGGTGGTGTTGGCGGTGTCATCAAAGAAAAGCGGTAGCAAGCATTCGGGGAGCAGACGTGATTGATCCAGCAGAAGCTGGGACCGTAGACGGAAATTCCAAGGATGCGCCCGGTCTTATCCTGCACCTCCACGGCGTTCGTTAGCACCAATGACAGCACGGCCTCCTCCAATACGGCGTCGTGCGGAGCAACGTCGGCAATAGTCGCATCGATAGAGAAATTCGGAGATTCATCCCGCATCTTCCTGGCGAGGAACATGGCTCTGGCGCCGTCGCGAACCCTATGGTCGTGGTGGTGGAGGAGTTTGTGGCGATTCGTCAGTAGGCCGGCGATGCGGGGGTAGGGGGAGGTGGCGGGAAGCGATTGGAGGAGGCGAAGGGCGGCGCGGAGGTCGGAGGAGTCGCCGTTGGGATAGGCGGAGGGGTGGGATTGGAGAAGCAGGAGAAGGTAGGGCTCGGCGCTGGAGACGTGGAGGGGAGAATCGGCGGAGGAGCAGAGGGAGGAGCAGTAGTAGGAGGAGGGAGTGTTGGGAAAGGAAGGGGTACAGAGGGGAGGGAAGGGTTGGGGAGGGAGTGGGGAGAAGCAGGAAGAGCAGTGAGATGAGAGGAGGGAGTGATGGAGAGCGGAAGAAAGCGGAGGGAGCGGCGGCGTTATGTCTTGTCCTATCTCTATGTCTTCCCCGGCCCTCATCTCCATCTCCTCCATCTCCGTCACTGCGCTTTCGGTAACCTTTCAAAAGCCTTTACTTTACAATTTGAATTAAATTACTACATAATTGAGAAGTTGTATGCCAATAAAATAAAAACATTTCCAAAAAAAAATAAAAAAAAATGTTTAATTTTTTTAATAAAGTTTCGAAATGATTAGTTCTTAATTGTAAAAATGAATATCATGCCATAGGGAGCCGAGAGGGCGCCCTTTCATTTGTTGCTCAAAGATAATGATGCTTCAATTGGATTGCAGATGACGTTATACTTGAATGACAACAAAAGCTTGACAATTCTTGCTTGTTGGGTTTTTATGCAGCTAGTACAGTTACAAGTTAAGGCCGCACGCAGGAGAAAGCAAATACAGATAATGGCAAAGCAATCAAGCACGGCTACGTGAGCAGTCTCAAAAGATGCGAGTGGAGAGGATGTCGGCTTTGAAGGAGGAGAAATCGAATGATCTTTTAGAATCGCAGCCGCTATCATTATAATTATAATCATCACCATCATCAGCAGCAGCACTAGTGAGGGTGGTTCTTTGTCTGGAGAAGGAAACTCAAGTTTGAATAAGAAGACGCACCTTCCAAAGAAAAAAGCAGAATTTTGAACCTCCTAGATGAGAAGGCTATAAGCCGGCCCTTTTGGGTTTTGGCTGCCTTGGCTTTGGCTTTGCAAGTGGGGCATCTGGGAGATTGAGAGCTTGCATCAGGTTTAATCTTGCAGGGGCAATTTAACAGATCGCTCAGTTCGATGGCGTAGATTATGTAACGGCACCTGTCACCATCCGTATACTTGCGCTCCTCGCTGCATATATACAGACGAAGAGGACGAGGAGGAGGCTGATCCATCTGTCCTCCTCCTGATCTGATCAGCGATCTGAATTGAACTGCAGCCGGTTTTCCTCTATCTAGGTTCGCCTTCGCCAATTTTTCCAAGTCATTTTGAGGCTTAACTCGCTCCTTGTCTTGTCTTAGTATAGGTAATATTATTTGTTCAAAAAAAAAAAAATTCTCCCACTCACATTATGACACATAGTGTACCAACCAGTGTGCCCTTTATACTAAAAAAATGTCCCATTTAATAGTTTTTTGTTTTTTTTGTTTAATAATAGATCTATTAGATTAGCCAGCGACAGAGTTTGTTATTAATTGCTAATTTTTTGCAGAGAATTTATTCCGAATAGTCACTATTCCTCCCTCCTAGAGTATCAAATTCACTATTTGTAATCATTATTCTCAAATTTCAGTTATTAGAGTTGTGGATTGATCGTTGAGTATGAAACTATCATAAACACTTTCAAAATATGAAAACTCGTCGATGACAATTTTGGACTTTGTAGATTGTAATAACGTTGTTTATACTATTATTTACGAATGAAAGGTATTATCATTTAATTCCTCAATGTCACTTCTGTCTACATTTTTTCTGAAAATTTTTCCATTGAGACCTCCTGAGGTCAGAGTCATATCCGCAGCTAGACATAAGATACCAAATTATTGTTCATTCAATCTCAATGAATTTGATCTCGTATTTGCATATCTTTATTACGAATGATTTGTGCGCCTGCTAGTTAAACAGGCGTAGGAAATGGAAGGGGAGGCATGCAGAAATAATTTCTTACTAGACATGCCATTGTTAATTAGTGACTCTAATTTGCCAAGGTATCAAAAGTAAGTGGTAAATCTTGCGTCCACAAACCAATTGCCAACAAGGTCTAAGTTGCATTGCAAATGAAATGAATGTCCACAAAATTTCATTAATTTTTCCAAATCATGAATTTCAATCGAATGCAACTGATGTCGATGTGTATATCACAACAGAAACTGACATCGTAAAATTGTTTTCACTAAGCTTTATCCGCACGACTACGCCAACCGGGTGAACAAGTCTCACTTTTTTGTTAGTACAAACCAGTTACATACAAAAAATAAAAAGCAGAGGAACATCCAGTGCCTTTCTTCATAAAATCCATATTTCTTGCAATGCGGCTGAATCGATCAGCTTCTCAGTTCAACCTGAGAAGCTGGACCAATAAAAGAAGAGTGAAGAAAAAGGAAAGGTTAGGAAATAGGGAGGAGGAAGCAGAGAAAGAACAGCGGGCGATAAGAGTGCTCTCAACTCGCGAATATTATAGAGCTCACCTGTCTCCTACTTAACTTTCAAAGTAGTTTCTATTCGTTCGACAAGCTGATCTGCAGTCATAGCACCCTCCTGCAAAATGAAAGCAAAGTCATCATAGATATTTAAAATCGACCAAAAACAAAAAGTAAAACCGCCAAAACTAATCTAGCAGTGGCTTGCATACATGCACACAGAACATACATTATTTATTCTATCTAATATTTTGGATCTAAGAGAATATAAATCCTTCTAATTCAACATTTTCGAATCAAAACTAAACAAAAGAAGAAGAAAAGCATGCGAAGCAACACATCTGACGAAATTGGAAACCAATGCAAGTGCATAGGATATCTTACAAAATCTAAAAATTGGAATTAACATCAAAGCGTAACAACTTGACAATACCCGTCCACATTCTGACCGTATAAAAAGTATGCAATCAGTATGAGATTTTATGTGACAGATTACACATTTCTAGACACTTGATCGTCTACCAGAGGCAAACATATTTATCTCCCAAAGGAAAAAAGAGAACAAATTCAACTTACAAAGCGGTCAAATGGCTCTCCATCCTTAAATATGATGAAAGTAGGCAATGCTTGTATGTTATATTTATCAGCAATGCTAGGATACTTCTCTGTGTCAATTTTCACAACCTGGATCTTGTCATTCAGCGTAATACTGACTTCGTTGAGGATGGGTGCCATAAATTGACAAGGTCCGCACCTGTCAACCAGAGTTTATTACTTAATTGTCTATTGTTACCTTTATATAGGGATGGAAAACCTAAAAGGTGAATAGCTACTACCTTGTTTAGGAACTAAAGTTTAACTGACAATACGACAATAATGACAAATTTGCAAACAAAATAAGAAGTGAGATACACCAGCAAGGCTTACCAGGTTGCATAAAAGTCAACCAACACAGGTTTTTCAGAGGTAGCCAGCAAATCTTGGAAGGATGAAAATGTTTGCTTCTTTGCTTCAACCTACGAAAAGTAATGTTTTTTCACATATACATGCAATTACTGAATCACCAATTCAGTCACACTTCATAATTTAGCTATACAGGCTAAATATTCCGAAGATAGCAAAGAAAGAGTACACGCAGCTATTGAAACTGTCACAACATGGTCCATATGGATAACTACCTAAGTGATATGTTGAGGAAAAACTAGAGCACACAGCTCTAACACAAGTGTTGGAGAGACAAAACAAGTAAACAAATTACTTGTATTAACTCACAAAATATTACAACACAACAACTATCAAGGACACACTTTAGAAGCTATGACACTCTCTCACTTCTAGAGAAAAACTCTAGACCACTTGCACTCTTCACAAGACTACTCACTTGCAAGGCTTCTCACTCTCTTACTTAGCTCTCTCTTGGTTTGCTCTCTTACTTCTTCTTGGTTACATTACAACACTCATACATACATATTTATCAGGCATGTTTGCCGACTTATACTATCACTAGAACTTTCTAGTGCATTGATCATGCACACACTCTTCCACCAACATAAGAAACATCCTTCTAGTCCCTACAAAAGACTACTTAGCCTAGATAATTCTATATTTAATGTTTCTTTACCGACCGCCTTCCATGCATATTTGAACTAGAAAAATCTAGTTCCATTGCACCTGGACAAAGTGCAAGTCTTCTAGAAGCTCTGCCTTCTAGACTTGCTGCTAGAATCTTCTAGAATCCAAACACCAATTGGGCTGGTGTTGATCTTCAACATGATAGGTCATCATCCTGAATTGAAACTTCACTTGTAACTTGAGGCAAAGCCAGTAGTGATAGGAGGACCGTCGATTGACTGGTATAAACAATCAGCTTCTGATCAGATGATTAAAGAACACTCAAGTTCATGCATGAAGGCCTCAAATATGGATTTGTTCACTGTGTCTAGCATTCAAATAGTCCCAAGATATACTATCCAAGTTTTACAATCTGTAACTTTCATCCCATTCAGTAATTTTGGTTCTAGGTTGTCCCTTCCCAACTTTATGCCCCAAACGGTTATCATGAAAAGGTACTTTACCTGGCAAATGGGGGTAGATCAAATTGTCGCAACCTAATATCCTATATCGGTGACAATGTGCATTCTAATTGTTTGGGAGAGGTTTGATTCCAAATTAGTATACCGATAGTCTAAAAAAGTCAGCTGCGTGCGCCAAAATCAAGTACAAAACCATTTCAAAGACCATCAAAAGTGAGTTCCATTTCCTTAAGCTCTATATTCCACATGCCTCCTGTAGCATGCTAAATCTGTGTCTTGCAAACCATCCTCTGAGTTTACTTTTCCTGCATTTTTTGATTAATTATCTTCTTCTCTTGAAAAGACTAAAATTTGGAAACTCCGAAAACCGACCCATGTGATTTTCTCACAACTCATAGGAAACGGCAAGGACCAACGAAATACAAAGCAATTGGTGTTTAGGCCATAAATATGATAACAATAAGATTTGCAGTTGTATCCTTTGCTTCCTAAATTTAAATTTTGCAATTTCTTCCACTACTAAACACAGAAATTTTAGAACAGGAATTTTAACGCTACACAATTTCGTAAAGTTAAATTCCTCGATTTTCTCGGGAAACAAACAGACTACGAAACTACAAAAACGGAAAATTGATTACCGGAGAAAGACGCCAAGGCCGTGAGTCCTGACTTCCGATCCGAACACGTCGAAGCTGCGCCGGAAATCGCAGCGAAGTAGAGGAAGACAGTTTTGAACAAGAAGAGGAGGAGGATGAGGCCGCCGCCGCAGCTAAGCGAGTCGTACGGTCAGAGCTGAGAGAAAGAATCGTGGACGCCGTCACGGAAACCGCCATTTGGATTGGATGCTCCCGTCAGTGAGATTTTGTCCGACGGATTCTTCTTCCTCGCTCCCGTTTGGATAATCGGAATTCGGAAAAGAAAATGAACAGAAAAATACTTCCAGCGAAGAACAAAGACACTTGCTCTTCCGGCTCGCCAAGAGGAGATATATTACGGTGTTGCTTCAGGTGTATGATGCTATGGTGGCGTTTAATTATTTACGGCTGGATTGTTGGAACAAGAAAAATAAGTTGATCGGACGGACGTAGTTGACTCTTGTGACCCCAAATTGAAGACCATTCGGCGATTGTCTGTATGCTTAATTCCTGTGTTCCCGGAAGACGTTCGTGTGAAGTCACGTGCTACTACATGCTGCACCCTCCTTCACCTTTTTAATTTTATTTATTTTTCCAATCAATTCTTTTTACCAAAAAAATGTATAATTAATTATTAGAATTTAGATGGATCAATTGACAAATTTGTAGATTTTTATTATTTTTTTATACAATTGTGAGCTGAAAACTTAAACGAACTCTCACTTATAAATATAAAAAAATATCATTAAATCGTAAACCTAGTAACTACTCAATTTACAGAATTAGTTTGTAGTTATAATATAAAAAAAATGTAAAAATACCTTTAGAACGAGCCAACCGATGCACAATAGCTACGCCTCCATGATTGGGTAGCCATTTATGTATCAAACTCATTGACAATATCTATATCCGGCACCACTTTTTTTTATGCAGCTTTTGGTCATGTTTTTGTGGACCCAGTTCGTAATGTATTTCATCAATCCGAACTATCTATATTTTAGATATTCCCACAAGGATCGTATTTACCAAAAATTATCCAAAAACCATATGACTGTTTGATAAGAGTTTAGGAATTATTATTATTATTATTATTATTATTATTATTATTATTATTATTGTAAAATTGTAATTGTTCCTTTTGTTTGGTATAAATGAATGTCTTAGAGTTCAAAAGATTATCTCTATAAATAGCCTTTAAGGGAAGGGGATGCCATGTTTTTTTTCCATCTCAAACTTCAACGTCTATTTTTCAAGTTGCACCTTATAGATTATCCTTACAAAATATTAGTTAAATTAGAAATATTTGAGACATCTAATTGAGTACAAAGAAATTGACGAACACTAAGTTCTAAGAAACATTTTCATTGTGACAATTAAATAGGCAAATAGTGATTGAATTAAATTTTTGCAATGATGATTTATGAATCAAGACTTACAAAATTGAAACTTCGGATCAGCAAAGATCGATGTGGAATGCATCCCACAATTAATCCCATTTTTTCAAAAAAATGGACATCCCTTCCGTTAGGAGGCTCTATATCTCTATATATCATGACAAAACCTCAAAACCATCTACAACACAATACAAGGAACTACAATGAATGTTTGACCGTCAAGATCGTTGAAGGAAAATCGTGCCAGCAAATTATCCAGCGCTTGTCATCATCAAGGCAAGAAGAACAATGGCGATTGCAGCGACTATGATAGCACAAGCAAATAACCACATACCCGTGCTCGGCCCTTTGGTATTCTGGCTCTCTTGACTTCCCAACTCAACTTCTCTAAGAAGTTCTCTCACTTCATCTATGTCGTAGTCCTTGGCAGCTTGGGTTAGTCGACTTTGAATCTTCTCAAGCATTGTGATCCTCCTATCCCTGCCTGCATCCTTGGCTGGCCACCAGAAACTTGTAAACTTCCAAAGGAGGATTCCAGCATAAATGGCCACGACACAGTCTACGCTATAATGGTGACGCTCCCGTATTTCTCTCTGTGCAGAGTGCCCGACAAGCAACCATATGATAACTGAGCTATAACCACCATAAGCTTCCTGCAACAATCGAATCAGATTCAAAGAAATCAACAACCAGCACCACAAGTAGGTTGCTTCTTAGACAAAACAAGTGGCAGTGGCTAGACATGTCAAAATACATATTAGGCAGTACCGTCCAGGCCATAGCTGTCAATACAGCAACTAGCACGTGTCCACTGAATATGAGGTCATTGCAGCCGCCTCCAGCATTCTTCAGTGAACTATACCATGGTCCATCCAGCGCGGTTGGTCGCAGAAAATCTATTAGGAAGCTCATTCGACCCCAATCCGGCCGAAAGTCCCCAAGTAATTTTCCAGTATTGGCTAGGGGAAACAAATAAAAAATGTTGTAACATACACAGCTACATTATCCTCAAAGGGGAATGCATTTGCTGACAGGTAGAAAGGAAACTATTGGTGCTGAAGTTGCAATCGAGAAAATGAAACCTAGGGATCAGACCAAGAAGAAAATGAAGCAATTATGTGGTACTTACCAAAAGCTATATCCTGCCGTAACAATTCACGAATAGCATTAGAATCCGAAGCATACGGAACATAATACTTCTGAGCCCAGCGATGAGGATATGAAGGGACTGTGAAACGAGTAGTAGCACACCAAGGCCGGGCAGATGGCAGAACAGTTGATACAAAAGTTATGGCACGAAGAAGACGGCCAATACCCATGGTGAACATGTAGCGTGCACCTAGTCCAAGGCCAGGAGCTTTCACAGAGTCAAACAGTACGGAAAAAGCCAACATCACAAACAACATGAGGAAATGATGCAGTCCAATAATACGAGCTCTCAATATTTCCACTAATGTATGAGGAAGTTTCTCATTCAGTGCCAAAAGCAACCACTGGCCAGTGTCGGGAAGAGGAGCTGTGCGACTGTCAAGTATCAAACATAAAAAGGTCAATCAGTTTCCTCTCATCAAATACTTGGCTAAAAACTAGGGCTAATATTGCATGAGAAATGAAAAATATCCTCTCGATAGCGATGATAAGAAATAAAAGAAAATTGACTGCATCAAATCATCTGAGAGACACAGACCTTATAATCATTGTATCAAATCATTCAATTATAACAACAATGCCGAGGGACTTTATTAAACAGAAATCAAATGAAAAATGTTGCTTATGTGTGGAAATTTGACAAGAAACTTTACAAGAAGATATTTTTCCATGTGTATTTTCTTTTCAGATTCCTTTTGTTTGGTTGATAATACATTACATTGTAACTGATCCCTAACGGCACAAGCTTTTGAGGGCTAGTGGTCATCTAACATAATATTAGAGCCTTGGTAGCTGGAGGTTCTTAGTCTGAATACTCCAATTCTCATTCCTCACTTGTTTGCTGATTCATTCCCTAACAGTTAAAGCTTTTGTGGCCCAAAGGTTGTCTAACTATCGTGATGGAATTTGCATTTATATTGAAGCACACAATTTTACATCTAAATAAAGAGCTAAAACAAGTGGAGCAAAGATGCATAAATTTTTTTTGTAGGCCGGCACCCTAAATGCAAGTCAGATAATATACTTGAGTTCTTGGATTTGCTAGCCTTCTCTAAACAATATGGGGGAGTTTGACATAAATTATTGGTGACAACCAAGCAAATCTGTCATTTCATCATTTCGGTCGCTTTATTGACAAGTTAGAACCGTATCGTTTCATGCGCTTTTTAACAAAAGTGGTGGTGGAAGGTGATTGAGTGGGCACCATTGCAGCCATGCATGCACAGTTCATTGAAGGATGTTTCCAGTTTAGGACTATTGGTTGAAGACGTGAAGTCCTTGGCTGCTCCGTTGAATGACGTTCGTTTTTCAATTCGCTCCTCGAGCATTTAATGGCGTCGCCGATAGGCTTGCCATATTAGCATTATCGATTCATAATGAGTTAGCGTGGAATGAGACCTAACACTATTCTCTTCCATTCCACGACATTGATTGTATTCAAGTTTTAGTATTAAACCATCGTTTCAAAAAAAAAAAATTATATAACATCAGATCCTTAAAATCCTGGCACTAATCACATAAATTTGACCTAGTCTGGTAATTAGTTAGCACAATAAACACAACAGGTGATTCAGATTACAGCGAAATGCCGAAAAAACAACGAAATCAAACTCGACCCACATAATATTTAGGGATTTAACAACCGAAATAAAGCAGAGAACTCGAAATGCAGATCAATATACACAGAGGGGGAGAGAAAGAGAGAGAGAGAGAGAAAGATAATGGAAGTATAAGGACAATACCTGTTCCAATCAAGGCCGAGAACAGCGGTGACAAAGCGGACGCAGAGAGCTTCAAGGAGAAGAGCCAAGATCATAAAGAGCATAGAACCGATAAAGGGAAAGACGACGCGAAACTCAGAGGACCAATGCTTGTAGAAAGGAACCCGACTGACGGCAATGACGGCGAGTACGGTGTGCAGCGCAGGCTGAAGACGGCCGTGCCACGTGGGCGAGAGGTGGCGGAGGTAGTCGACTGCCACATAGGCCACAGCGGCGATCCCAAGGCCGCCGGACCTCAGCGGCAGCCACCGCATGGTGGTGAACGAGAAAGAGTGAGCTGATGGTGTGGCTGGTTTAAAGAAAACCGGGAGCTGGAGGAGGTTGGCACTTGGGGGTTTGAACATTAGTCTCGTCTCTCATGCAAGTATTTTTTTTGTTTTGTTTTTGTTTGTGGGTTTCCATTTGATTTTTTCACTTTTTAATGATTGGATTAATTCTGACAATTTAATTTTCTTATTATTAAATTGACGCATCAGAACCCGCCACATGACACAACTTTTCAATTCTTTTAACATTAAAAATTCAACGATTCAGATCATCCGGCCATTAGAAATCCATGGCCACGTCTTCGAGTTGTCGGATCTTCAGTCTGAGTTGCTGCTACAGGGGCCCATAACAACAGAAGTTGTCAACCCACTCACCCGCATGCCCATGTAATACAGGCACTAGACATAAAAAAAATAACGTGATTGAAGTCATGTTGGCATCTAATTATCTGCTGGCCTTGGGCATGAATTCCGGGATAGTTGGGCGAGCTTGGCGTGGCCGACCCATTACCCCTTGCTATTTGGGCCACTGGAGATGTATTTTGAGGTTAAAGGCAATTTCAAAGCACTTGCCAGAGGGCAATGGGTGGAAGTTCTCTAACATTGTTGCATAAAAAACCAAAATTTAGAGCATTCATTCCCATATAAAGTAAATAATCAATTACTAAAAATCATTTTACCACTTACTACTATATATTGTAATATTTCTCTTTAATTAAAAGTCTAAGGTTTTATATTTAATTTGAGTTCAATGTCACTTTATTATTTGGTTAGAT